TGTGTGTGTGTCTGTGTCTGTGTGTGGGTGTCTGTATTGGTTATTCGTGTGGGGTTTTGGGTGGGGGCAACAGTGTGGTCTCACCTTACACCGTCACCTGTCACTGACAACAGATGTTCACACGACAGGATTATTTAACCACATTGTGTGTGGGTGTGTCCTTGTGTGTGTGTAAGGGAAGTGACTGAGAATAATTGATCTAAACCCAAATATGAAGCAACTCGTCCAAATACCAGTATTGTGGAGGTGTCATGTCATCGACTGTTCATTCCATGTGATCCTTATTCGACGGCTCATGTCCTCACCTTTCTGGGACGGAAAGAGGACAGCAGTTAAAGTGCTCTGTTCCTAAAAAAGCCTCTACAAAACATATTTTTCCATCAACTGCAGTAATGAAGCTGCACATTGTTGGCAAAGGACATTTTCCCCCCCAGCCCTCAGTCCAAGCTGCGATTAAGCTCCCACCTCATCCATCACACCCCAACAATAGAGATGTCGTCCACTCCCTAGACAGCTGTTCAGCCACAGCCCCTGAAAGTGTGTGTATGCCTTGGCATCTGTATGTTCATGGATGTGTATGTGCAAACTGTAATGAGTTTGTTTGTGTGAATATTGGACCTGCGTCATGATAATAAGATCTTATTTTAAATGTGATATTCTTGTGTTTAAACAAACAAGGCAGACACAGACTTCACACCACCTGTTTGACACCAGTATTGTATTGTGTTGAATGGCATTCATTTATAGACACTTAAACAGATTGATTATTTCTTTGTTGATCGTGACACCTCATGTCCTCCATTATATATTGAGGAAACGTTTTAATTAGAAAAGAAATTAGAACCGTGGTCTGCATAATCACGATTGCTAATAAGCAAAGGATAAAAAAGGAAAGAAGCAGAACTAGATTGATCAAAAAGTAAAAAGGGTGTTGGAGTCTGAAAGTCAGATTAGTTTTTTATTGAAATTCTTCCTGGCAACTGTCAGCCTATATGCATCCATGTGTGCGAGTCCGGCTTACTCTTATGCCCATGCCACGCTGGCACCACCATCTGCTACCCGTCGAAGTTCTGTCCGGCCCAGCAAGACCCCTCAAACACACACACGCACACACACCCTTCTGCTTGTGGTCAGACAGCCAGGTGGCATCCCACCAACTGACCAACAGTTGTTACACACACGCTGTGACCTACACCACACAATGGTCCACCAACAGAAAGTCCCTCGCAATCCTTCTGCTTCTTCCTCTTTCTTGATGTGCACGTAGGCCTGATTAGCGTGCAGAAAGGGTGCCTGTCTGTCTTTCCGGCTGCTTCTCTCTATGCCATTTGGCTTGCTTTTTTGCCTTGGATAGAGAACATAGGAACTCATCCTCACAGCCATCAAACAGTGTTTATGTGTGTGCTTTTAAGAAGACAACTCGGCAAAAGATCTCCTAAGAGGGGTGTCAGATGGCAGGCGTTTGTGTTGGTGTGTGGAGGGGGGATGGAGAGATGATGGGGGCGGATCAAGGAAGGGATGGAAGGAAACAGGAGGAGGGGGCGATTGCTCAGTTCTCTGTGCTCTTCAGCTTTTGTTCTCCTAGATAATAACTTTCCACCCCCTGACTCCAAAAACCAAGGGAAGCCCTCCAGTCTGGAAACAGGAGTCATAGTACGGTTGTTACTGTGGTTATGACAACTGGCTGCAAGATGATTTACTGTTTATTTATGACTGCAACTGTGTCAGATTTCTCACAGTCAATTATACATGCCCTATGTTGCCCTAAAAAACCCAATATGCTTTTAATTTGGGCCAAGATTTGAGTAGGGGGAAAACATAGAGCCATATAACTGCCAACAGCCTGCAGGCCAGAGTGTCTTGGCCTCATCTGCCAGGACCAATGAGGAAGAAGAGGAGATATTATACATTTGAGATATTTTGACTTCCCTCATTATTTTTAAAGCACCACATTTAGATGGAAGAGCTAGAATGAAGGTATTGACTTAATAACTCCAATCTAAAGCAACACTAAATACGGAAAGGCAAACATTTAGGGGTAAACCGAAAGGAAGTGAAAGGCAGTTGTTACAGTGAAAACGCTGTTCTATTTGCTGTGACCTGGTTGAGTGGAGCAGCATCTGCAACCCACATGAAATCTAAAAATACTAACGCACCATTGACTGCTACAGTACCGTGGCCTCAGTAGGTAGATGAATAACGGAGTGTGTACGGTAGGCTTGTGTGCATGTGTAAAAGTGGATAGGGGTTCGGGCTAAATTCTGAGGTTTGCCAATGCCTTGGTTTACAAGCCTCAACCTTAAAACCTCTAAATAAATATTTGTTTGCGTGTGTGTGTGTTTGTGTGTGTGCGTGTGTGTTTGTGTGTGTGTGTGTGTGTGTGTGTGTGTGTGTATACTCTAAATTAAAATTACAGTAGGACACTTAGTACAACACTGCGTGGCCGCTTACAACTTTTTTACCGGTATGATCATATATGTGTTACTTTAAAAAAGACTCAGACACAAAAACAAGGTTATAGAAAAGTTGTTTTTGTTTCTAAAAAGTGTTTTTTATATTAATAAAATGAAAACACAACAGTACTTAAAGTAAAACTTGAATGTTTGCCAACAGTAACAGTGGAATTGTGGATTATAAATGTGAGTATATAACTAGTCTGTCATTCAAAAGAGAGCCATGGCATTCCTTCTGCCATACTAATGACCAGGGCCGTCGCCGCTTTTTCGGCTCAGTTGAGGCTCCCTCCGCAAGATGAGGCCCCCTCTGCAAGGTGAGGCCCCATGCAGTCTGCCTGATCGGCCTGTAGGGAGGGACGGCCCTGTTAATGACAGATGTGTGACAGATGTGACTAATTAAGACAGTATCCGAAGAGCCAGGTGTGACTGATTTTTATATTACTATCTTTTGCTATAGTGTTGGTTGGTTCACTGATACCATGCTGTGCAGTCTTTTATTCGGGGAAATGTAGGGGACACACCCGCCTTCATAACATGCCCCTCCCCCTTAATACAACTTAAAAGTAGCAGAGGACACTTCTTGAACACACACCTAATAGAAGCAGGCGTTGTTAGGATGCAACCCATACGCAATGGTTTCAATCTGCCATCAAAAATAAAGAAGATGAAGCAACTTTGCACGGTTGAATTATAGAAGAATTCACAAGGATCCAGAATATGACGTGTTTGACACCCTCGCTTATAACTCCCTGATCTTGCGTTTTATTTATAGCCTGTACTCTCTCTAACTCTCCATAAATCCAAGCTATTTAAAATTGATGGGAACCTGCGATAAACTCAATTTCCTTTTTGGCTTCAAGATAAATTGAAAAACCATTCAATTGTGGATTGTCAATTAGTGGACCTAATAAAGTTCTCTCTCACACACACACACACACACACACACACACACACACACACACACACACACACACACACACACACACACACACACACACACACACACACACACACACACACACACACTGCAAGTATATCTTCTGCACCAATCTGCTATCTTGTCTCCCCCTTGCACCGTGCTGCCGCTCACCGTACAGGTGCGAGAGAGCAGCCAATTAGGAGCACCGAGCGTGACCACGTGAACAAATCCCGTTGTCTAAATTCCCGTTCGGCGGCGAGCAGCTCAGAGTGAGCGGCAGCGCTGAAAGCCTCATTGAGTGGGAAGTAATAACGGCAGGCTGAACGGGAGCGGTGTGCAGGTAAATTGCTTTTTTCCTGGCTATACACTTTCTGTGCCTCCATGGGTCAGTGTGTGCTTCAGACTCAGCTCTGGGACGGGATGTTTTGGATTACATTTGTCTTCGCGTGCGTGTGGTTCTCTTCTCTCCTCCGGTCCGCGGACAGGACAAACAGCATCATCGGCTGCTTGGCTCTGCACCGTCTGCGCATTGAAACTCAGCCACCCCTCCCACTTTCTATCTCCCTTTCTCCCCCGCTTGCCTCGCGCAGGCACACGAGGCTATTGATAGTTGACAGAAGCCTTGTAATCCCTGGCTGATCTGGCTGAGCGACCGGCCACAGCCATTTGAGAAACAAGAATGTTGATTGAACTTTGTTTTGCTGCGAGATTTGTTATAATTGGTAACGCCCGCAGATTCTCGCCGTGCATGGGGGGAGTGAAAGGCTTCTTTTGGTGCTGCATGCAACCAGGCGAGCAGAGGCAAGCTTTTATTGCTGAATTATTTATAAGACTGTCTGGGAGAGAGTAATGCTTCTCTTGGATGGATAGGGAGTCAAGATTGGCTCTTTCTGATCAGAAATTCTCCTCATTTCTACTTGTGGTGTGTTCTATTTGGGCATATTGTGTTTAATTCCAGTTTTAGTAAGAATTTGTGATTTGTGTAATATTGTTTTGCCAAATAAATCAAATTAAAAGCTGACAGGATTAGGTGAAAATCAATTACTCACCCAACTGAAACTAATTGAATCATGCATTTAACTCATGTATGAAGTAATAATAACAAACTCATACTCAGCTTTTCAAATGTGAACATTTGCTGTTTTTCTCTGACTAACATCGCTGTGAAAGAATCATCATTGAGTTTTCTACTAACTTGTCAAAAATAAGCACTCTGGGAAACTTGTTAGGGACAATGTCACTAAGCTATTTCAACCAAAAGATTGATTAAAGGTCAATCTGAAAAAAATATTGACCTGTTAATTGAGGGTAAGATAATCAATAGGCAATGTGTTCTGCTGCATTTATTACATTAGGTGTAACTGTTCATAACACCATGTTACCCTATGTGTCTGCAGTTGTGTATTGCAACGTCACATTTCTGTTCAATCCAAATGCCTGCTCAGAAAAAATAAATAAAAATGCTAAATATATAAATGAAATAAATAAGTGTAGTGCGGTCGCCCTGCTATGTTTATGCATGCCTTCTTCTCACAGCCCTACTCCACCGGAATGAGTCGACCCCGTCCGCGCATGCGCACTCCTCCCTCCATTCATCTCTAGGGATCTCTCGCCCTCGTTCTCGTGTCTTGTGTGAGGAGAAACCAGCAGGCGGCTCCGGGCTCGCTTCCCCGGTTGTCACATGCAGTGTGACTTCTGCTCGCTGCGGCTGCACAGTGACAGCTCACACCGGCGCTCTAGTTTCTCGGATTGAACTCGGATTTTTTGCCTATTTGGATTTCTCTATGTTGATAATAGCAGTGACGGACTATCAACAGTTTATTGCTAACACCGTAAGTTGGTTGATATTCTTTCTGATTTGTTCTGACGTTTTCTGAGGGTTTTCCCGCATGTTCAGCGCTGTCACCCCGAGTGAACATTCTACCGGCAGGAGCTTTGATCATTTGCGTGTTCTCCGTTGGGAAGTTATACTGCTCTGTTTTATTGTTTCCTTATCAGACTTGCTTTCGCTTTTCCCCCGTAGCATAAACTAAAAGAGGAACTTCTTTACTACACTTGAACACGTAAACGTTCCTCATGTTGTGAGGCTACAATGTTTCAGTAAATGTTTGCGGAGGATAGATTATTCCGCGAAGATTACACTGCCTGCAATGAGCGGTTAAACTGTAACTCATCTTCGATAGCAGGTGTCTAATCCCCACTTCCGCACTATGCTGCGAGATATAGATCTTTCATAAACACATTGGTGTGTTTTATCTAAAAATATTCCCCTATACCTTCTTGTTCCTGCTAGTTAAGTTGCTGTTGTTTTTTAACTTAATATTACCTATCTTTTAACGTTGTTTTTCAGTATTCTTTCATGTCCCCTTTTTAGGGTACTGTTTTAGGGAACCAAAAGTTAATGAAGCATCGTGTTTCATCATTGAGGGTTTTTTCTTTGTAATACATAAACGTTCTCTGTTTTGTGTGGGTGTGTGGGTGTTTTCTGTGTGCGTGTGCACTCGTGTGTGTGTGGGGGGATCAAGAAAATGACAGTGAAAGAAAGCAATGCTAAACTGCCCTCAGTTTACTGAAACTGAACCAGCTTGTTGGCTTACTGTACCCAAACCTGTTAAGTTAAGTTGTAAACCAACACCAACAACTCGCAACACCACATTCAGCTTGTCAGTGTACAAAGGTCTTTGCACAAGCCTGTGCACTATGCAAAACTCTCCAAACAGCTGCTCTTGGTGCTGAAACAGCAGTTTTTTTTTAGCTTTACTCATGTCATTTTGAATGAGGTTGTTATTGTACTCATTGACTAAACTTTGTTGTCTAGTTCTTCTCATTGCTCAGTGCTGGTTTCAGTATCAGCTCTTTGTGCTCCGTGGTCTCCAGGTTTGACTAATGGCCTGTTGCCTTTGCGTTATTTTAGTTTCCTCCACCCTGCTCCACCCTGTTTCATGTGCAGGAGGTGTCTTTCACACTCAGTCACACCTGCCTTGCTTAGATAGAAATGTGGGGTCTCTTTGTTTTAATGCCCAGCCCTTAGAGTTGATTTATAGAGTGAAAACAGACTTGTGGTTGTTGCTTGTTACGCCCATATAATGCTCCTCTTGTGCTGCATACAGTGGACTTTGTCAGAGATGTATTTACATCCTTGCTTCTGTGTGTGTTTCAGGGATTTTTCTTTTCCTGTGTGTATTAGTGTCCCTTTTTTGTGATGGACAAATACCCAGGGGCACATTTACAAAGTGAGCAAAGTAGCAGGGATAGGGGCGGTTGAGAAAGTGTGTGTGCGTGTACCTGTGCGGTCGTGTGTGTGTAAGCTCCAGGCCCCCATGAGCACTTTCACAGACTCTTTCTCGTAAGCATTGACTTGGCAGTGAACTCTCTATCGGTATCGATGAGATAAGAGGATGAGAAGGAGGGAGAGAGCGAGCGTGTGTTGTACGAACAAGATGCACAATCTGTCTTTGTCTCTCTCAGTATTTTTTCTCCTGGTTTCTTTGTGATAAAAATGTCTCTGCATTTCTTTTGGAACATGTGGTACACCCTTTATCTGTTAGGACAGACAGAGATTTCATGTCTTGATTTAGTGCATTATTTATGTTGAGTTTACTTTCAGAATTGCACACATAACAAAACACCATAAAAGAGCAAGCTCTATAAGAATGATTAGATGTGTTTTATATAAAATAGGGCTTTTCACCATTTAGCTTTTAAATCACCTGTTTGATCCACGTTTCAAACAGGTGATTTAAACACAGTGGATTAGGATTGGTCAATGGATTTGAAAATGTATTTAATTTCCAATGATGGAAATTAGTTTGGCCCAGATTAAGGACACATGAGAACTGGCGACAGGTACACTGAGCATTTACGGCAAAGACACTTGACAATTGAAAACAGCCCCAAACCAGAAAGTCTCTTTCACATTTAGTAAGGTAAACAAACTGTATTTCATTTGTTTTTCAGTCAAATATAATCAGTGTTGTTTGTATAGCCCAAAATCACCTATTTGCCTTAAACGGCTTTACAATTTGCATGGCACATCACCAGCTATCTTTTAGATCTTTGAATCTGATTAAGAAAATATCCTTCCAAAAACATTTAACAGGAGAAAATATCCGTCAGGAGGAGTAACAGTGTTATGTAAGAAGAATCTTGGTTCACTGTCCTTTTTAATTCTCAGGTTTGTCCTCCTCCCATTGCCGTTTGCTGTCACCTCTGCATGTTGAGCCTTTTTTCTGCAAACCCATCTGTGTGCAAGTATCTCTATGCCTTGGAGTAGCGGGGCGTCTTGGCTGCGTTGGTTCTGGTTAGCTTTATGTTATGTCCTTGGTTTCTATCCTCTTCTCAATTACACAAAGTCAGCAGCAGAGGACCCACAGTAGCGTCACAACATGTCTCTTCCTACTGCAGCGAGTGTATTCTGGTGCCCCATGCCTATCAGCGAAACAGGACTCTGCCCACTAGTTCTCATATTCTAGCATACAGCAGCACATTTAGAGTCTCATCTCGCAAGGAAATGTAGCACTAATCCAATTGGCTGGAGCTTTAGTAAAAGCTTTCCTAATTGGCCAGTATGGCAGCTGGCTGCCAAGGATCCAGTAAGCACAACAGGGAGTTGGGGGAGTCCCAGTGGTGCTTTGGTGCAGGGGAGCCTGAACAAAAGGGCAGATAGCAGAGAGTGTGCTACTGTTTTTAAATATTCCTCCACATGGCAGTACAAAAGGACCCATCTGCACACTGCTGACTCAGATCCATCCCGCTGACCATATCTCATTTTAAGCTGTGTTGTTTGACACATGCAAATACACACATGCACACACACTCCCACAACATTCCATCTGCACAGACAAGAATGGCTTGCGTCACACAATCATGTTTAAAGAGGAAGCACGTTCCCAACCGGCTGAAGAACAGAGCTATCAACACAGGAATATTGACTGTGCGTGTGTATAACAAGAGGAAGAGAGAAACGCTGCGACCAACATTCACAGCAGCCGTTCCTGTTTCCTTTCACCTCAGTGTGGAATCCAGGAATAGCTCCGAGGGACAGAGACAAGAGATGAGAGAGAGGGGGAGACAGACAGTGAGGGGGGGGAAACAAAGAGGGAGAGTCGGACAGTCAGAGGCAGAGAGTGTGAGAGATGGCCATGTAAGGTGTCCTGCACCACAGCTTGAACCACCCCACACAAACTCTGAACCTTAAAATGAACTGTTCACGGGTTGGTTTATCAAGTCACTGTTAACTTGAACTTTGCCGTTGTGTAAGGAATATGACATTTTCATATAAGAAGTAACGCCTTTGTAAATGATAAGTTGACAAATAATAAAATAGCTACTCAGTACATTTGCAGGTATAACAATTAAACTTCCTTTTTGTGCGTTCTTTTGCCAGTTTATCAAAGGTTGTTTTTTTTCCACCGAAATTGAGAAATAAATATTGAAATCATTGTTAGCCTTTTTCTAATTAGTGAGGGTCATGAAGAACAAATGACAGCTGAGCGTGTTTATCATCTTTGAATAAAGAATTGAAACCCAAATATTGACATTTTTTATAACAAGGGAAATTTCACCAGATGGCATTGTAAACCCCTTGATGTGGTTTACACAGAATCCCTGTTCTAAGAATTGAGAAAAAGTACTTTTATCCTACTCAAGCTCAAGGAAAAATAATGTTTAAAAAATACCTGTATCAGGAAAAATGTTAATCTTTGCGTTACACTCTTGTTGTGGTGTGCACAACCCACAATCCAAGTTCTTAAACAAACTAAACAAAACAAAGACAGTGTACCTCCTCTCTTAATGTTAGTATAAATCTGGGGTTTGGATCAATTCTTTTCAAAGTTATTATTATCAGAATATTCAGCATTTTGCATGTCTCTGGTTTTTAGCAAAAATGATGACCTGTATGCACATATATTTAGACTGAAGGAGTGAATGGAGAGATTGTCACACGCACGCACGCACACGCACACACATTGACAGCAACATATAATGCATATAGTCTACACAGGTTGATAACCATTTACACTCTCTCTCTCTCTCTCTCTCTCTCTCTCTCTCTCTCTCTCTCTCTCTCTCGCACGCACACGCACACGCACACGCACACGCACACACACGACCTTCCCCTATTCCCTTCCTCCAATGTCCCAGCTCTGCTTACTGCATCAAAAAGAGCTTAGATCAGGGAAACCATAGCTTGCCCTTATGCATACTTCCCAGAAGATCGGGCTATTTATTCAAAGCCAGCAGACCGTGTTTGGACTGAGGCTGTAAGCTTTCCAGCCTGGATCCAAGTATGGGTTAACTCATTTGGTTGCACCAAAACACTGTCCAGGCCGTTGAGCAAGGCAGTTGCTTATTATGACTGTGGTTGTACTTGGATGTTTTTCTTTTCTTCTTACAAACATAATGGTGTTTTTACTTTCTTTTTCAAAAAAGTATTGATTTATTTATTATATGATAACCTGTACTGTGAGGATAACTATTTAACAGAGAAATACACTTACATAGTTATAGTAAACTGTATTGGTAGCAGTCTATACACAGTGAATGCTGTTTGTTGCAGTGTGATGTGATGTGCTTTGGCATTTGTCAGTGTTAAGTCTGCATTCATCTTTACTGCCAGCTCTTGTTTTGGTTGGTAGCGTCTGTTTGTGGTAGTTTTTTTAAAACATATAATCCAGTTTAATCTGCTCTATTTGGCAAACCAAAAAGTGCTAAAAACTGGTGGATTTAATTGTTTTTCAATCCAAAGAAGAACATATTCAAGCGGTATAGATATACTAGCATTCCTCGCACCATTCTTTAGGGTTATACTCAAACACGGGTGTTCCAACAT